CTCCATATTTTGAAAAATAATGCGAAAGAAATTTTGTTTTTTATTAATCTCTGTAGATTTATTTGTAAATATTATGACAATTCCTTGGTGAGTTCTTCACAAAATCCAGATATCAAAAAATATATAACAATATAACAGAAAATGTTGTTAGGCCATATGTGTATAAATTTTCAATTTAATTTAGCTATAACGAATAGCTATAATGAATTTTTTAAAGCTGTTTACTGAAGAGTTTGGTTTTTTAAGCTCGAAGTTTTAAAATACTAATCAAAATTTATAAATCTATGTAAAGATGCAATAATGAATACGATAAATATACTTTCAGTCATAATTAAATTTTAATATATGTATGTACCTACCAGGTGAGTTACCTAAGACTGGAAATTGAAATATTTTCGAAACTGTTAGTTATATCGAAAATGCTTCAAACTTGCTTGTTTGGAGATATTTTAATTAAAATATTACGGAATGGTACTCTTACAACCGATTTTAACAAATATTCATTACATTATTACATATGACCTATTACAAAATGTGTTCAAAGTGATGACCGTTGGCATCTAGTACATGTTTTTGCAATTTGTTCCTTAAAGAATATTGCACGCGACTTAAGCTTTCTGATTGTAAGAGTACATACCATTCCGCTAGATTTTAATTAAAATATCTTCTAAACTAATGGTTTCTCGGTATAAACAGCATAACACTTTTTTATACAGAATGATGAGCTGAATCGATTGATGCATTAAAATAATATATGATTCCATAAAAAAAAACAAACTTGACTTTTATATGTCCTCCTCGCGTCTACTTACAAAAATGCTAGTCACACTAAACAATATCTCTTTCGAAACCATTCAACTTTTGTTTGAAGCCTTTTCCATATAATTAACAGTTTTGAAAATATTTCAGCTTCCAATCTTAGGTGACTCACCCTGTATTTGAGGAAGGATGATATGAATTGATTAATTGAAAAGTATATTTTTAGTCTATTTTCAAAAGTTTTTAAAACACATTTTTGTTTATGAATGATCTGGCAAATACAAGTATACTTTTTCCCAGAGTACAGTGAAAAGAAAGATTTCTCGACATCTTAATTTATATAAACTATTACATTATGAAAAGTATACTTAGCTTTCGTACAACGACATGAAATGATATTGTACAGGGTATAACATCATAAAAGAAAAAGTTTTTTGTTTTCTCTGTTTTATTAGTTTTTTCAAGGTCATCGTCGTTTTTTATCTAGGAAACGTGTATTTTTTCTATTGCACCTTGTAGTAGACGGGAAAATACATCTGAATATGCCTGAATCGTGACCTTTAGATGACCTTGAACACTAAAAGGATGATGAAATTGTAAGACAAAAAACAAGCAAATAAAAACTTTTTCTTTCACGATATTCCCCTTTGGAAATCATTTAAATCGTGCTACAAACATTTTTCATGGCATTAAAAACAAAGGAGATATTTAAGTGCCCTCCTTCAGCTGGGACCTTCAGCCACCCGTGCTCGGTTAAATTTTACTAACAATGAGTTTGGTCCACGCATTCACATTCTCGTCAGCAGGATAGCGTTTTGGTTATAGTATTATAATTGACTTTCGAACAGGCCGACAAAGGAAGAGAATGGATACAACGAGAGTAAGTGAGATAAACTTATTAGTGCGTCAAGAAACGACGTTCGAGATACGGCACTTGAAAGGGATACCCGCGTGCGTTGCAGTGAATCATCCAACGTTAAGAATTTTAATTTTTCTAATTTTCACCTTAGGTTTATGAAAGTATGCCAAAGCATACCTTTCACCTTGTTAATACATACAAATCTTCGCTTTTTAAATCAGAGAATCATAGACTGATTCATAGACCCGATCATAGACGGTATTTTGACGTTTTAATCGTTTAAAAACCTGTACGATTCTTTTTTCTTCGCTTTGTAGATTATTTCTTTGCGAAATGTGACATTACCGTTGTTTATCAGCATAAAAGTATGTACGAACGGAAGCAACATTTTGCAGCGAATCATTAAATTCGTAAACTAAGCATTTTATAAAAAAATTTAGTTCTATATCTTCGATTTACTTTTTCATGTAGAATCACTCCTTTTACGGTTGGACTACTAGCTACGGAACACCCAGTATATTGTCTGCATGCATAATGAATTAAGAAGGATTCATTTTTAATTTTTATTGATTATAATAATATTAACAGTTAACATACCAATATCCGTGATTTCTTTTGCAACTGGTCTGTCAGTTCTAGGCTCGTATAGCAATACTACTGGTCTTTCAGTAGCAACTTCGATTGCTTCTACAAGTACTTGGAACAAGCTAATCGGTAGCGAAGGAACGAGATGCGTTGTTAAAACAAGTGGGCGTTCACTTAAAAGTGGTGCCGAGAGAGGAGGACATTTTCGAGGAACAGCAACATTCGAAGGCTTTTGTACGTTCTGAAAATATATTATTTAATATTAGTTGATTAGGTAAATTATTTACTCCTTAGAGGGTGTATGTATTACAAGAATATTATGATTAAATTGACCATTATAATATGTATGTACAGGGTGCATAAAAAGATTGTAAAAAGACCATCACAGCAGGATTCTATACCTTCGGAACGGTGGACATTTGTGGAAAAAAGGACGTGCAAAATTGTCCTCGACCTTGAAATTCATGGTTCAATGTTTTTTGCTTGCATCGTATTCTACTAACAACAGTTCGCAAGCTGCTTGCAGACTGTTCGCGAACAAAAGCAGCATAGTGTCCACACTGGTGCTCACTAATGAGTACACTGCTCACGAAAATGTCTTCACTACCGGCGAACATGGTTCGCGATCTGTTCGTGAACTCCTTGCGAACACCAGTGTGGGTGGATCCCGCAGTAACCCTCGGACAGTGGACTCTGTAACCTGACTCAGAGTAATACTACTCTTAAAAATATGTCAGAAGAGAATCTTAAGTTGTATCTTTTGTTGATACTATATAAAATCAGTAGTAAAACGGTCTTCAAACTTTATTTTAGCTGAGGTGTTGGTGTATTGCCAACAAGCCCTTACCAAACCTTGTTCTATTCTTCCACGCGAACTATGTATTGTTATACAAACGTCGGAATGACGACAAAAAACCATTTCTCTAAGCCTTATAAAAATAGCGGTGCAAAGTGAAATTTTTTTGACAGCGATCGATAACTGAGAAGTCACGCGTACGCGTTTGTTCACGATCGCGCGCGGATGAGTCTCTGCGCTCCCGTGCCTGGGCGCGGGCTCTACGCGCGCTCTGATTGGCCAGTGTTTTTCGTTAATAATTCAAAAACGAAGCTTCAAACAACATTTTGGTAAAGGAGAAAGTTGTTCAGAGTCACCCCAGCAACCCCCCATTTCCGGGTGTTACACTCTTTACTGGACATCCTGTATAATGGTTGGAGTGTGTGAGAACGATGAAAAGGTGAGGAAAAAGATAAATAGAGTGATCGGTTGCGTGTTTTATTAATTCAAATCTGCCCAGCGTTTACGGTGTACAAGTATTTGATATACAAGGTGTCATATAACTGACGGTACCTGCGAATAAACGATGATTCTGCGTGAAAAACTAAATCAAAAATATAGAATAAAATTTGTTCATACAAGGCTTTGTTTCCGAGAAAATTGAATTTAAAGATTTACTACAAACTGTTGCCTTTGCTCATACTTTTACGTTAATAAACAGTGGTAATGTCACATTTCGCAAGGAATGATCTACGCAGAGGATAGTGTAAATCTGCAGCTAAAAGAAAGAATCGTACAGGCTTTCACACAACTAAAGTGTTAAAATATCGTATCATCGGTGTTAGGTTTTCTGTAGAAACGGTTTATGGCACGATCGACCGGGAACGGTTATTTTTGAGTTGAGGATTTTCGTTTGTTGCTTGCACGGGTCTAATTACCTCCTGCGAGAGTCACTAGAATTGCTTTGCTAGATTTTTAGTAATTTGTCGCGCTCAATAGCCTACGAACATACCATAAACGGCATATCTGTATGTAACGGTCCGCTTGCCGATTAGTCACCCTGAGGAAATTCCAGATTTTTGGGACTTTCCGCCCATCCCTCGCGACCGTCTCCCACCCTTCCAAGGTGACAGCGCGTTAAGGGCGCACTGAACGGGAGGTAAAAACGATATTAGATACGCTAATTGGCAAATGTAATTGTTAACCAGTCAGCGTGTCCTAACAAAAAATCCCTCTCACGGACGTCCTAGACGCGACATCGGACAGTCAGTCGTTCAGTAGTCGTTGAACCACCAAGAACAAGGAGAACCAAGGAGCAGCCAGCTCATATTTGTTATAACATCACGCGATAGAAATACATCGTGCAAATACTACAAGGCTCGAAAGTTCATTGTAACAACCACGGGCATTAACAATCAGTCCATGACTCTCCGATTCAAAGAGCAAGGATTTGTATGTGTTAACATAGGCGTCACTCTCATCAATTCGTTTAGTAAATCGTTAATAAATGTATTATCAATAGGTACTTATCATGACATTAGTATCGTTTATTAGTACAAAGAAATAAAGCAGAGAGCACACGCATTCGACTAATTTTTAAATTTAATTTTCTCGACAACTAAACCTCTTATGAAAAAAACTTTATTCTATATTTTCGATTCGGTTTTTCATATAGGAGCAACACCTTCTGGCTTGTACCACCAGTTACATGACACCTTGCATTTGCTATTCCGTGTTGTTCATAATTATCGCGCTCAACAACTTGGACGTTTCGTTAGTTTTCTAAATTAAGGTTTCGGACAATGTTATAAAATGTTTCTGAATGATTAAAATTCGTCTACACTACAAGGTGTCTCGAAATTAGTAATACAACTCGAAAGGTAATGATTCAATGTAAAAAAAAAATTTCTTTATATGAAGCTTCATCTTTTAATAGATCACTATTAAAGTATTAACAAATGTCACTGCAAACTACCTGTGCGACTGTTCCACATTGGATGAAGTATAAACAATGAAACAAAGGTGTCTTCTGTTCAAGAATTATTTTTTGTATTAATATGAAAATTGCTGGCAGTAGCTCATGTTTTTCTACAAATATATGTATTGTAGCTCTGCCTTGGCTTGTATGTATCGCAACTTCTGTGAACGTTTTCTAGGAAATTCTTCGTTTTTAAATGTTAGAACGTAGGAATAATTTTTTCTCTCATTTGCTCCCTACTCGTAATCTCACCGTGACTCATGGCTTCAACATGGCTTCATAAGTAAATGACTCCGCTATTCCGTCATAACAATCGATCCAACAGTATCGATTATTTAAAAAGTGTCCAATATTTTGTCACAACGTGCTCTCGCATTAGTAACGTTTAGAAATACGAATGCAACCAGAACTGTATAGTCTAAAACGAGATCTGTTAAGTTGCAGTATAGTCAGTTTATCTTTTATAAAATAATTCTTCCTTCCTGACGATTTCCACAACACGTCAATTTTTATCATTAATTATTTTTATTATATGGTTTCTTTTTATTAAACACCAATCTACTATAATTTTTTGTAAGATTTTCTGAATGATTATTTTATCAATTGATCGTCATCCGAGGAAAATGAGACCGGAAAATTCCAACTAAATGACACAACCAGACATCTTGCATTGGTACCGCATTTTTTATAACTTTCCCACCATTTCCTGGTTAAATAACTGTTAGTTCCCAATTCTTTAGAACATATAGAATTACGGTGTGAAAGGATTTTTCAATCCCGATGAAGATCAAAATTCGCCTACTTTTGACGTTGTCCTTTGCTTTTACACAGCAGTGTTCTGAGACACCCTGCACAATAGTCAAGTGTAAGTACTTACAGTCGTATAGTTCGATACAGTGAAACATTATTTCATTTAATAATCAGCCGTTAAAAGCTTACAGTGCTTCAGTTCTTGATAATTACAAGACTGCCTTATATTAATACTGAAGTTTATCAATTCCGTATACAGGGCGAGTAACGAGATACTGAACACTCGAATATCTAAGTTAGGTTTGAACATAGGAAGAAATATAATAAGTATGATCATACAAACAGATTCTTTTTTGATATCATTTCCAAGAGTATTTGACAGTGATCTTTGTTTTTGTATAGTTTAATAAAGAAAATTATCATACAATGACTAATTTTCTAATTTTAAAGATACCGAACCTAGTAATTCTTAGTAGGTTAGTTTAAAATACACACAAAGTACCTGAGATGCATAATTAAAATCTTCAGCTACGCGATTAATTATTTTATCATTTCTGATGCGGAAGCTTTAAAAATCTGCTTATAACACGGCCAATGTAAGTTATTGTACAGCGTCCAAGTATTATTTTTTAATTCTACTATTTTATCTAATATACATTAATTCATATTGAAATTAATGACATATATGTACTGAATTCTTATGTTTTTTTAACTGTCTTAAACTTCCTCACAGCAATGATATTTTTATTTTTATCTTATATTCGTTCCGTTACTTAACAAACTTTATGAACTATACGTATGCACATGTAACAAAAGATGTAAAAACAGATAAAAAATCAGACATAAACTCAAAGCTGAATTATGAATTACAAAATGTTTACACAATAATTTAGAGTTAATGGAAATTTCAGTAAAAAATAAATTTGTTTAGAATACAAAATTTTATGCATGATTTTACATGAGTAATTTGGTATTTAACAAGATCAAAAATTTCTAAATATTTTTTAAAGGTTGACAAATGAAGTATCGAAGAGTTCTAAAAGTTCATGAATGAATTCATTTATAAATTATTAAGCATTTTACTTGAGATGTTGATTGCACGCATAAGACTATTAGTAGAGTTATCAGAAATAAAAATAGGTAATTTAAATTATGCGTAATAATTTTTAGCTCCAAATATCATGTATATATATTTTTTTTTAATAATATGTTAAGGATATGATTATTACTGTAAAAGGTAAATAGTAGAGATAACAATGTTTTATATTGCTGTAATTCAAACTTACGGATACATCGGCAACTCGAATCAGTTTGCACTTCGGTACATTGGTTTGAATTACTGTAGTTTCGGTGTTGGTTTGTACATTGGTTTGAATTTCTGCCGTGTTTGTGTTTTGTGACTTATTGTCTTCTGCTTTAACTTTTTCCATTTTAACTTCGATATTTTTTAACTTCACGGTTTCAGGCTTGGAATGTTCATGTTCTAAATTCGTTAAGCTTTCATTTTGTAACTGTGGTTTCTTCGATTTCTCACTTTCTTTCGAATCTTTTTTTTCTATTTTTATTTCGCTTTCGTTCATTTGGCGATTTTCGAGAGGCATGGGAGTATTATGCACTAATTTCTTCACAACCATCGAAGTACTCTTTGATACGGGATGAACTTTGCCTTGAACTGATTCATCAGCCGTTGCTTTAGGTGTAGATTGCATTCTGTCGTTCCAATCTTACGTTCCTTGTAATTTTATTCTTAAATCTGCCAACAGCAAAATTGAAAAATTTTAAACATTTTGCACATAAAATTACTACAAATTAATTTTTTTATTTTGTTTTGCTTTATTTGTACATATAATTATATTTGATGGTAAATAAATGGAGATTTAGAATATTATAATTAGCAAGTATTGCACATTTAAATATACTTCAAATATAATATAGAGGATGCACCACGTAAATGGATTCATCTAATTGTAAATATCTCCAAGGTATATGGATAGGTAAGTATGTGTACCCATAAGCGAACTGTTCAGTTCAAAGTAAGTATGTACATACACTGTTCGAAAAATCAACCAAAATAATGGAAGGAAAATTTCTTCCGGGATCATATTCTTCGAAAGCCTACAATTTTTGTTTCTTTTATTACTCTTATTGATGATAAGAAATCAAACTCAGGAACAATACCAATACACTATTCCAATTATTTAATCTGAAAATATTTTAGACTAAAGATAATTAATACTTCTGAAATATACACGTGGCAAATCAATTCATACACTCGTACTCAATCGTACGTGGAGAAGAAACAGTCCTCGAATAATAAGTTTCCACAGTATGTACTTTGAATTGTGGTAGTCTTTCGAACTTGGACACAACGGGTACAATACGTTGGGTCATTCGATATTCAAAGGGAATAAGTATTAAGGTGGAGAGTGTGTAATTGTTTATTAATTTTAAAGAGACACGATATAATTTCAAAAATTCAGGTCAACTGAGTGGAGTAAGAAAGAAGTAAATAATCATACTAAATTCGCAAAAATTGGGTAAGTAGGATGAAAAATGTACGATTATTTATGAATTTTAAGAAGACACTATATAATTTCAAAAATTCGGAGAAACTGTAACTCCTTCAATGCGGAATTCGAGTAAGAAAGAAGTAAACAATCATACTAAATTCGAAGACATAAATTAGAGAAAATTTCAGATAGAAATTATTTCATGGTATAATAACAAATAAATGTTAAACAAACCTCTGACACGTATAAAACATTATTTAACATAATAAATACCTTCGCTAAGGTTACTTTCAATCGATGACCATGGGTCAGTCTAATTTTTAATCCTTACGAAATTAATTTAATCAGGACTAAGTAATGAGAACATGGAAACGTAGTTTTCTATTGAACAAAGTTGTAGAAACGTATAAATTATTATTTGCAGTGTTACAATAAATTCTTGGAACTATAAATTTATAATAAAAATTGTGAAAATTAATAAATTATACGGATTTGTAATATTCTAATAAAATAATGGAAATTTCCCGCGGAAAGGTGACAATTTACCGCGAAAAGGTAACTTCCCGGCTGACCTTACGGAATTATGGAAGTTTCCCGCGAAAAATAATCGATTCCCGTGAAAAATGATGGATCTTCCGCGAAAAATAACGGATTCCCGCGAAAAGTAAGTCTCGCGCCTGACATTTCTAACGTCTTTGCTAATGAATTTGCTAATGACTTTGGGGAGGGGGTACCGCAGGCATATAAGGACCCGCCGATGTCCCGCCAATTTATTCACCCTTTATACTGGGCCATAGACACTTCGCGGCAATTCATCTTTCATCTAGCGAGACAGTTTAATTAGGGGCAGCTCATATTTGAGCTGGCAATAGACAATACAACTAACTACACCACCACATCGCCAGAAAAAAACCCATTTTGGTAACTCACCGTTCGCAGATTAAACAGCTGAGCTCTGCAACGTGGATTTGGCTGCATTTCGTTCTTCCTTCCATCCTCTCAGATCGTCATCCATCAGCCAATCATTCCAGTCTTCCAGCGTTAATTTTCCAAGACTCACAGACTCACAAAGTGTAAGTTACTATTGAATGAACGACGCGAAAAGTATTTCGAAACGCGATTTATTTCCGTTTTATTTAGTGAGGGGGAAATCGCGAATTTATATTACTTTCAATATTATTTTTCAATATTATTATTGAACTAAACTTTCGTAGAACACGAGTGAAAAATTGAAAGAATCAAAAAAAAAAACGCGAATTCGTATCTTTTTCGATTCTAGAATATAAGAAAATTTGAATAAAATACACGACGAGAATTAGGAGAAAGTATCTGTTAAACGCGTAAAATATTAAATAATAAGCGAACAAGGTATGAAGCTATTATTTCAGTACGCGATGCAACGACTCTACTGTTTACTAAAATTCAAAAATTCTTGTATAAATTCCGAAAATAGATTATTTATTATGGTAAACTACTGAGACGGTTTAATTTAGGGTGAGCATAGTGCACTCGTTCCAAATCAGCTCACAATATACAATAATAAATCAACTAACTACTTAACATGCAATTTATGCAAATTCGTTGGATGGTAAATTATTAGTAAACAAAATAGCAAGTCATAAAATAAATTCAATATCAGAGAAAATATATGAAAAATACTGAAAGAAAAATTTCAAATTAATTTCAATTGCTGGAAGAAAAGTACATATTGATTGTTATGCCCTAACGAAAAAGCAACCACTCAAAGTCATTTCAATATCCTATTCGACAAGTCTGAAGAACAACGATGACTAAAATTCAAATGTTTATTTCCCTAAACCTTCAAAATAATTTCGAAATATTTTATTCGAAGCGGAGTATTCCAAGTCAGTATCGATAATTGAAGAAATTATTTGATTGTATTTAAAAGAACCGAAAGGAGAATATTTAAAGTCTGATATTAAATGTCTAGCAAGTACCAGTAATTGGTAAAATGATTTATATTTGTTTTAAAAGGAAAATTTCTAATAGGTATTAGTTAAAATGAATTGTTATTCAGTCTATTGTATTGAAATTCTAATTGATTCTAATGTATACAAGAGTTACAAGAAGGCTGAGTGTGTACAGGGTGGACATAGGCTAGCTAGTAGCCCCCGACCACTCTATGAACTTTAACGTCTATACTCGAAAGTGTATCGTCAACACTAACACGTTACCCAGATTATCCAAAAATTGAAGAAGTTACTTTTAAAATTGAACATTCTACGGTGTTTCGAGAGATTTGATAATCATAGTCGAACCTTAAACGAACGTTCAAACGAAGAAAATTTTCCAAAAATCATTTCGTACGTTATTAATCGATAAAACAAAAATTCATTGTTGAAAAATAAATATTTCCTGAAAATCTTCATCTTCCATACAAGATTCAAGATTTTCCCTAATTAAGAGTAATTTCAAAAGATTATCTGTATAAGCTATTATTTCAATACGCGATGCACTGACTCTAGTATTTACTAAAATTCAAAAATTCTCGTATAAATTCCGAAAATAGATTATTAATTACGGTAAACTACTGAGACGGTTTAATTAAGGGTGGGCATGGTGCTGCTTTAGTTTGAAATGATTTATAAACACATAATTAACAGAGGAAAAACCGTGAAACGGCAAAACGTCTACATTCTAATTGTTATAACATGTAAACAGAACTTTAAATTTAGTGTAAACAGAAAAAATATATAATACAATTTATTTCACGGTATTGCAACAAATAAACGTTGAATCAATATTTAATTCGTATAAAAACAATTATTTAACGTAATAATTTTACCTTCACTATGGCTATTTTTAATCTACGACCACAGGTCAACCTGATTTCTAATCCTTACGAACTTTAAATTCAGTCTAAACTGAGAAAATATATAATACAATTTATTTCACGGTATTGCAACAAACAAACGTTGAATAGATTCTTAATTCGTATAGAAACATTTATTTAAAATAATAATTTCACCTTCACTATGGCTATTTTAAATTTACGACCAAGGGTCAACCTGATTTTTAATCCTCCGAACTTGATTTCACAACGAGAAAGTAATAAGATCGTTGAAACGTACTTATTTGTCAAAGAAACTTGCAAAAATGTATAAATAATAATATGTAATGTTTTAACAAATTTTTGGAAGTATAAATTAATAATAAAATTGTGAAAATTAATAAATTATACGTTATTATAACATTAATAGAATTATGACTAAACCGAAGTTCGAAGTCGAGTATTTAAAGTCTGATATTACGTGCCTAGCGAGTGCCGGTAATTGTTAAAATTTGTTTAATAATTAGTAATAGAAATTCTAATTGATTCTAATGTATACAAGTGTTACAAGAAGGCTGAGTGTGTACAGGGTGGACATAGACTAGCTAGTAGCCCCCGACCACTCTATTCACATCTCAGAACCTTCAGGTCAAAATACGCCGCGAAGTGTCTAGGGCCCAGTATAAAGGGTAAATGATTTCGCGGGACATCGGCGGGTCCTTATATACCTGCGGTACCCTCTCCCCAAAGTCATTAGCAAAATCGTCGGTTAGGTCAGGCGGGAAATTTTCGCGGGAGATTTTCGCGGGAGATTTCCGATATCGTAACACGGTATAATTTATCAATTTTCACAATTTTATTAAAAATTTATACTTCCGACAATTTGTTATAACATTGCATATAACAATTTATACGTTTTTACAATATTCTTCAATGGAAACATAGGTTTTAGCGTTCTCGTTACTTACTCGTGGTTAAATTAATTTCGTAGGGATTAAAAATCAGGTTGACCTGTGGTCGTAGATTAAAAATAACCATAGTACAGCTAAATTTATCGTGTTAAATAATTCTTCTTACACGAATGAAAAATGTATTCAACGTTTGCTTGTTACAATACCATGAAATAAAT